ACTGTCTGATTTTCCTTCATTTCACTATTAAAGAAAGAGCCATACACAATTATTTTAAAGCATCTATTTTATTTATTGTTTCGTGGATTTTTGGTGTGTGGAAAATTATTGGTAAACACCTTTAGCACTCCTTCAATTATAAATAAAAAATGAAATCTTACCTATTGAAAATTTTAAGTTAAGTGTTCATCCACAAGCTAAATTCATAATCTGACATCTAAGTTTTAGAGAAGGAGTATACCACTAGTGATTAGCTACCTGGAGCCATTGATGTGCTGATGGAATTAAGAAATATAAAACAAGTATATAAATAAAATAACAGTGAGGCATGGATTCGTTCAGAGCTTCATATGTACAAATCTGTAAGAGAATTACCAGATAGTAGAAATAGTCAATAATGAAAGAGCTTAAAAAATGAGAATAGTCTTGGAAAAGAAAAGAATTTTACTTGCTTTGGTAGAAATTTTTTTTTTTTTTCCTTTTTGCCTTTTTTCATGACCGGCAACGGATCGCAACCCTCAGTGTCGCGCCCATACCGGACTGGGACCGGCAACGGGATCTCAACCCTTGGCGTTGCTCCCACACCTTGCTCAGCCAGTGAGCGGTCGGTCTGTATGTGGGATCCGAACCCTCGGCGGGAATGCCGCCGCGCTCCCAAGCGGCGCACTGTAGCAGTGCGCCACCGGGCCGGCCCTTTGGTAGAAATTTTGATTGAGTTACTATTAGTATCTAAATCCTACATAGAGATTAAAGAGTGCCTTATGTGAATCACAAAAAGCATGTCGTGAAACCACTTTAAAAATTTTTACTGTTATTTTTGTTTGACAAATCATAATTGTATATATTTACGAAGTACACTACGATGTTTTGATATAGGTATACAATATGAAATGTTTTGAGTTGGGGAGTAGGAAGGAGGCAATGGATATGATATATATATATAGAGAGAGAGATAATGATATATGTAATATTATATATATATCTCTCTCTATATATTTACCTATCTATATACACACTAATATATTATGTATGCATATACTTATGCAAAATGTGTATTATTGTCTTGGAAAATGGAAACAAACCAACATTTGACAATTTGTCAACTGGTTAACTGGGTGATTCACAGAATTATTCATTCACCACAGGTGTTTTGTGAAAGAAAATGAGCCGAGATGCCGGGTACCGTTCAAGCTTTATTAAAGAAAGAAATCTGGGCCGGCCCGGTGGCGCACTCGGTAGAGTGTGGTGCTTGGGAGCGCAGCAGCGCACTGCAGAAGGTTCGGATCCCATATAGAGACCGGTCCGCTCACTGGCTGAGTGCGGTATGGGCATGACACCGAGGGTTGCGATCCCGTTACCAGTCAATTCATAGACTTTCCTAATCAGCAAATATAAATATAAAGACAAAAAGGAAAGAAAGAAATCTGCTCGGCTGTGCTCAGAGTGGCACAGGGCCCAGGGCTGCCCTGAAAATGGGGGACAGCACCAGGTGTGGGGGTGGTAGATACAGCTTATATTAGTATGTTGGCACCAAGAGCTGGCTGATACCATCAAGGAGGGTCGTTATGCTAATGTGGATTGGGGTGGAGAAATGCATCCTTGCCGAAGCAAAAGGGGTTTCTGTTTAAGTCAGGAGGCTTCTCGTAAAGGGAAGGGGGGAGGG